CCCCAAAACCCCAAAACCCCAAAACCCCAAAACCCCGAAATGCAAAGTATATGATGAATCGAAGATACCTATTAGTTTAATTGAAAATTGAATACTCAATCAATAACGATATATATTATCCTTGTTCTTTTGTTATAATAATTTATATAAGTACCTTTCAGAGTCTAGATTTATTCTTTATATTTAGATATCATATCAGCATTGTCCCTCTCAATAACTGTATCTATTTCCTCTTTCTCCTTCACTATTTACAGAAACTCTTCCCCCTTTGTCCCCTCTTTGCTCTTTTTGTTGCATACTTCCTCTGAGATCAAGTTTTTCTAGTTTCCAGAGTGTCTTGCTCTTCTTTTCATCTAGCATATCGTTATTTCTCTTTTTGACTGTTTCTCTGTAGTAGTTTTGCTTCTTTATTTCATCAAGACGCTTCTAATGCTCCATGAACTAATCATATTCTCGCTTTTAAAGCTTATCCTCATAGTCTAATGCTTTATCCAGCCAGTCCTGCTTTCTTTTCTCCTTTATGTAGGTATTCTTCTCAAGAGTTCTATAGATACCTCTTATCTTATCCTCTTTTCTCTTTATAATTTCAGATTCTTTATTAATCTCTTGCACTTTGATATGTTCATCCTTTTCCACTAAAAATCTTTCAAGTGACTCACGCTTTTTCTCTATTTTATCCTCTTACTCTTCCAAGATCTATTGAGTTTTCATTTTGAATTGCTATTCCTTGACCTTGATTTCAAATTCCCTCTTCCTCTCCTATTCCCTTCTCTTTTCCATCTCTTCATAACGTTTTTGTATAAGATGTTACTCGAATTCCACTTTTTCGTGCTTTTCTTGAATAGTATCCAATTCTGACTTATATTATCTCTCAAACTCAATACGCTCATGAAGCTTACGCATCTCCTCATTTTTCTTGACTTTATTCATTGATTTAAGAGACAGTTGTTCTCTCTCTCGTTTCAGCAGTTACTCATACTTTTTTTCCGTTTCTTTTTTAATTGACATTTCATCGATCTCTTTTTTCATTATCCTTGACATTTCGAATTCCTATTATACCAATAATTAGTCGCTTTAAATTTTGAATTGTGATAATCCCATTATTCATTTATTCTAATGTACTGTCAGAATTGACTTACCTTTCTTTATTTCTGAGCAACTAACTCGTGCTTGGAAATTGAGGGTAAAAATGCGACACTTTATGAGTGCTTCGATGAACGCATATAAAATGAGTTATCATGACTTAATGAGTCTCTTCCCTATCTACCTCTTGTCTCTTTTACCATTTTTTTCCTTTCCTATATTCAGCAATCAATACTAATTCTCATTCAATCATAATTAAAGCCAATATTTTTAATTGACAGCTGGCGTCAACGGATGTAACTTACCTCGAGGACTTATTAAATTCTATCTTTCCTCTTAGTTTCATGATCACTCCACTTGTTATCTAAGTCTTGCTTGGATATTTTCATATTACCTATCTTTGCCTTTAATTCATCCTTAGATATAAACTGCAGATCCTCTTTTTTGTAGCCTAGCTGGTGCATAGCCTTCACACTTCTAGGACTGTTCAGAAGCACTTCTACTGGATCACTCATATTTTAGTTTGGTAATCTAAATTTATTATATTATTAAGTTAAAATTAAGATTAATAATATAAGTTTTTGTTCTTAGTTAATTTATTAAGACTGATGATTAAACAATGCTTCATTCTTTATTCCTATTCAAGCAAGCTATAACTAAGAGTAATTTTTGCCTCTCTATGGCGGTGAACCCCCTCTAGGACTACTGAAAAATGTTCCAACAACTCTTCTCTCTACTTATGAATTATAATCAGTTTTAAGTAAATCATTCATTTGGCTTGAAAAATTCTTCCTTGCTCTTGAACTTGAACTTTATGATATCTCAGGATTTGCACTTGGAGAGCTTCCTAATTAAATAGTAGAATTTTACTAATTTCTTGCTTAATGCTGCATCCTATAAGGACTTGAGTCAAAATATCTTTTCTCAAATTGATCGCTAGTCTCCTCTTCAAAGACATTACTACGATTCCTCTATGTAAATTATTATTGCCTACGAGGTGAAACTCTTTCTTAGTTTATTGTGCTTAAATCATTTTGCTTCGTTTTATATTCATATGCTCCTGGTAAGCATGCGATTCCACTTCTTTAATTATGACTCTTTATCAACTTAAAGTATTTTTCTCTTGGATTTAAAAATTACAGCGCTTATTGCCTCACCTTTTGTTCCTCACATTTTTGCTGAAATCCTTTTTCAATATCATTTCTAATTAAGTCTAATTATTTCAAGCGATTAATTTCCTAGACATTTCTTGTAGATGCTGGGCTTTATGATTTTCTAAATTTTATTGAATCGTCTGTTTAAGGAAATATGTTCAGTTTGGTCTTATTCTCTTATAGAGTTTTCATAGCAGCACTTGGAGGAATATAGCCTTGGGTAATGATATTGGTTCATGAATAATTTTTGCAAACAGATGTCTATTATGAAATTGAATTATATCTAGGACTTTATTTTCTTCTATTTTCATCGTTGGGATTTGATGAATTATTTAAAAATCTTGTTTAATTTGCTCCTTGCCTCTAATCTTGATAATCAAGCTTTCTTGTTGGTGATAACTATGTCTAAGGCCTGTACTGTATTTAAGATGATATAGGAGAAGTTCTCCCTTAATTCAATGGCTGCATATTACTCCTAGGCATCAATTTCTTTTGCATCTATTATGACAGCTCTATTTTGATGTTTGGCATTATGATTCTATTAAATATATTATCTCCCTAAATCATAATATAAGAAATAACAGAAACATCACGAATTTGGTTCATTTCAAAGTATTTATCAATTCTTTGCTTATGGGGTTTTGGGGTTTTGGGGTTTTGGGGTTTTGGGG